ATAATGGTGAAGAACTGGGCTTACAAGTCAGACAACCTAGTAGATTCTGATTCTATTACATAGGTGTATTATAAACTTGGGCAAAAAATAAAATAAAATAAAAAATCACCAGGCTCTCTGTTCACTCATCTATAAAATAAAGTTAGTAATAAAACTTTTAACATAAGGTAATGAGGCATAAATTTGATAAGTGCTTCAGAGAATGCTTAGTCTATCTGGCAATCTTAGTAAAAGGTAGTTTAAAATCAGAACACCAAATATAAAAGTTAAATAAAAGTACTGAAATCAAATCAGTATTTATTAGGTAGAGAAATCTAAACTAAAAGTTCTATTTGAAAAAGTGTTGACACAAAATTAAAACATTACCACAAAGCACTGCTATTTTCCCAAAAAGAAATTAGCAAAAGATTAAAAAGGTATTAAAACAAATTTCTGTACTTTGGCCAAAATTTTAACTTTTCATCAACCTTTACACTCAATTCAATAATATCCTGTAGTTAAAAGTTTAAAAAACTTGAGCTATTGTTAGGTGACATGAATAAATGTAAATGTATTAAAATTTTATAAGACAGTAGTCTTATAAAACAAAAATTGTATGTACGAATTAGAATCTACTTTTATCAACAGTTTTAAAGTGCTTAAGCAAGCAAATTTTTAAAATGACTGAGGTAAGGTAATAAGAAATTACAAAAATGAGAAATATAACCCTTAAATTATATTATACAAGTTATTTCCACTAATAATGAAAGACATCTGTGTGAACTTAAGGAAATTTAGTTATAGAATGTTAGTCTTAGAACAGAACCTATATAACTGGTTCTATTCTTCTTTCTTTGATTCCCACAGAATCTCAGCTCAAAAGCAACAACATACAAAGGTCGCTCAAACCTCCCTGTTGAACAGGAAAGCTAGAAAACCTAAGTAATGAAATTGATGGCTTTAGTTTTAACAGCAAGAAGTGTCTAGACAGAGGAAATCTATCCAGAAATGAGGGAGACATTAAACAGGCATTTTTGAATTTAAGATTAAAAAACAGGGCCCAGGCATACAATCCAGAAAGGTTTGCCTTCAAAACTTAGTTTTTATAAATGAGGATAATTGAAAAGGATAAGGAGGTGCTCAAATTGAACGTAAGAGATTGTTACTTTTGACGTTTTCTTCAGGATAGTCCATTCTTCTGAATAACAGGTAAGTTCAACCATTTTGATATTTACCTCTCCATTAACTAAGTCCAAACTAGATCAAGGTCTGAACCATTTTGATATTTACCTCTCCATTAACTAAGTCCAAACTAGATCAAGGTCTGAGCCAATTTAAGTAAAAGTGACCTTGACAGTTATCTTCACACTCCAGTAGCAATTACATAAATTTAGAATTATTTCACACAAAAGGCCAACTTCATAATATGAGAATCTAAAGTCATGAAGTGATGTCTACTTGACTATAATTAACAATTACCTATATATATTAGCAACATGAAACTGATGTACTTCCTAGTTCCTAAACCAAATCCTAAATCAATTATCAATACCATTCACAGTTAAATAAAACTCCGAAAGAGTTCAATTTTACATCTGAGGCTTTTAATGTAAACTTTTGCCTAAACAAGGCAACTGCCTTACTTTCTAACAGAAACCTTCCCTTATAATATATAATCTTCTCATTCAATAATAAATTACTACATATAGACTTAGAATCAATCATCAGTGCAACATTACCTCTAAAACAAAATAAAGAGCTTTTATTGGCTTAAAATTATTACAACTCTTTCAGAAAAATGTCTCTGTGAACCTTTTCTTGAAACAGCTACACATTCCCTTACCCTGACTGCAGTTGACAATCCTTTCATAGATTCTTATAGCACACAATAAAAAAACTTAACTTGTATGATCTAGTCACATAATAGTAGCAGCTTTCTACTTACAGATTTATATCCTCCACTAAGAAGTCATCACAGGCATTCAAATGCCAAGTAAATAAAATCCTAATTAATAAAAGTTCAATAAAATACTGCAGGCTTTAGAAAGGCGTATACTTACTGTTAATGTATTCAGAAAGGGATTATTGATATTGTTGATTTTGTCACAGTTGATTTACAATACCCAAGTCCAAATTATCTTTAACTCAAGTCAGTACTTGATCATTAGCTTAAGACTTTGTTCACTTGGAGAATTCCACTAACATCATGTAGAAACATGACCTATCCTTACAAAGATCATAAAGAAACAACTTCAAATCTCTATTCTCCCTCAAACTATTCCCACTTATTTTCCTAGAAGTCACTACCCACCCCGATCCATTATTACCCAACTACAGCAGTGTTGACAGTCATCAACTTTTCTACTTCTTACTGGAGATAACATGCTTCTCCAAATGACTTGAGCACTACTCTGCTTCCAATTTCACCAACCTCTACCAGGTATAAAAGTCATGGCCCTCCCTGGTGGCGCAGCGGGTTAAAGCGCAGCACTGAGAAACTAAAGCCACTTCCGCATGAGTTAGATTCCTGCCTGCCCCGGAGGTGACCACATGGAGTGGCAGACCTCTCCTGACCCACCTGCTGATCCCCTCAGCAGTGTGTTTCATAGATCTGCCTGTTCTGCTCCCCACTCTGTCTCTGGTGAAGCCTCTCGCCGCCCCTGAGCCTTTGGCCTGTACCCCAGTTCTAAATGCACAAATAAATAAATCTTAAAAAAAAAAAGAAATCAGTCATAAGAAAGGACCTCTATTAAATATCAAACAGGCCTATTAAATATCAAACAGGCACTTAAGTCACTGAAACACAGAATCAATGTTAAACAATAATCTAGTTAGTCATAAGACTCTAAACTTCCTTTATAAAATTGTCCTATTTCAATAACCTTATAAAATGAACTTCTAGGACTCCAACTCCTTTGTGATGGCTACTTATGGCTTTGAAGTATCAACAAAACAGTTCAACAACTATAATACTTCAGTTCTTATATAAGTTAAGCTGGAATGCAAGCTTGCCAAATCTAATAACCATACAAAGTATTTGGGGGAAGGGAGGCTCTAAGAAAATAAACATGAACCCTGCCCCCAGATCTACCCACCCTCATAACCTAGAAGTAAACCTCAGATGTTAAAGTTACTTTAAAATGACTCGCAGGAGGATTTTTAAAAAGCCTGTTTGTCACAAAGTTGTCTTAACCTTGTTATTTGGGATAGTTTTCAAAAGTATCTCCAGTGTGTACAAGCAGCAGGAAGACTTCGAGAGTAGTGAAGAGAAGTTTGCAACTGATCTGTCCTCCAGCAGCTGACTGATTTACATGGGCACTTATCATTCCCCATGAGATTAGTGCCATGAAAACAGATCAGTTGCAAGAGCAGGGAAGACAAGCAGATTTCACACTCCTCTCTTAAATGCTTCTTTAAAAAGGAAAAGTTCTAGCAAAGTCGTAACTCTTGTTTTATCATAATGTAGACCAAATCCCTTCAGCTTACTAGTATAATATAAAGCTATTCACATAAGCAGATATTCAGCTGTGTTATGAACAGTACTATGTAATATGACTTAATTCTCACTTTTCTGAAAGCTATCTTCCACTTCAAAACTGTGTAAAATTAATCATATGCAACAGCAAACCTTTTGTAAAGCAGAATTTCTTTAAAATATAGCCACCCTTGTATAAAACTTAACTTTCAAAGATTTGAATAATTTTAAGTTCCACTAGTTTGCTTTATTTCTGTCCTGTTTATTGCTTAGACATTAGAACACAAAGGTTAAGTCAATAAAAGACTTCCGGTTTTTATTTCCTCTGCTAACTAAAAATATTTGTAGCACAAACTACTGACAAACATAGCTAATGCCAACTAATGGTTGTTTTTCTAAGCACCCTTTTTTGTAATAACTGCCCTATTTCTGTAGTTATTCTAGACGTCTAAATGCCAAACTAAATATTGCAACATTGAAGTAGTCCTAATTCATTAATACCTTAATATAGACCAACTGTCTTCTTTATTTAGGGGCTTTATTAAAACAAGTGTTAAACCTAGAAAGCATAGCTGCTTTCCAACAGATTCTTGGTGCCATCTAGAACTGCCTGAAGGCAAAAATATTTCCCACCCTAAAATCCAAGCCTCTTTGAAAGTTTAGCAATCACTAAACACTTATTCAGGAATGAAAATGCTCTACAGTGGGGAATGTGAAAGCTTCATTGTCATATACTCTACATGACATTACACTTTTCTAAAGTATTCCAAAACTTCTTAATTATCAACTGAGTCCTTTCAAATCTGACTTTGGGGACAGATGGAGCTGTACTGTTTGTCTGTATTTTATTTATTATGTTTGCAATATCCAGATTTACTTCAGGATGAAAAACTCTGCCACACTGTCTTACATATGGCCATCTGAAAGGAATAAAAAGATGGTGGGGGCCGTGCACAAGTACTAAATTTAAGACATTTCTGTGTCCTCTACTGGAAAACATGAGGGTGAGGTGCAAAAGAATATGAATCTACAACATGTAATTCCTTGCTTCTTAAAGCATATGCTTGCCTTGAAATTATAACTTTTAGTAGTGTCACATTTCCAAGGGAAAAAATTTTGCTCCAGGGGGCAAGTTTCTGGGCCACATATAGAATGCAAAATTTTAGTCTAACAGTGTAAGAAGCATAAAAGCTTTTATGTGAACAAACCATTCATTTTTTTTAGGATGCATCATTCCCAATTCAAGTTGAAGACTTTAAAGTTCAAAGAAAATAGTCTCTTTTTATGCCTGTCAATTCGTATGTCCCCTGGTATTTCCGGATAATCTTACTAATTAACTGAACCTCATCAGAAGATAATGATGGTTCAGCGACTCAAGAGACACACGGGACCTCAGGACCTCGGAACTCAAAATACTTGGCAGTCTACCAAAAAAAAGAGACCTTCTTGATTCAAGAAGAGGAAGGGATGAGCTGCGAGAAGGGGAGTATATGACACAAAAAGCTGCTGACCAGAGCAGTGGCGCCCAGCTTTCAGACACACTTACTGGTTTGCTAGGGTACACGTTAGATAGATGCGTTTTTAGTTTCCCCACGGTCCAGTTCAAGAAGCAGCTAATAGTCTGGTCACTGTATTTCTGATTCGGTGCTTTAATGATGAGGGTCACAGGAATCTCCATCCCACTTTGGTCCATGGTGCCCCCAAAGTCGGACAGAGTCAAAAGGAGCAGCAGTCAAGCCCAACTGAGTCGAAGTGGTCACGGCCGGCGTGACTGGGATGGGGTTGGAAGCGATTGTGTTCTTATTACTCCGTGTCCAAATCAGTCACAAGTGCATCCGGCGATAAGAAGGCCATTGCCGGTACCAAGGATGGACAGTGGCTGCCACTGAAGGGTTCGGGGGTCTGGCCGCGGATGCAGTTTCCCCGCCAGGTCCGGTATCCGGCAGGCTCCGTACTGCGAAGGGAGGCAGAGGAAGAGAAAGAGAAAGCAATGAAAAGGGAGGGACGGTGGGGTGAGGAAGCGATCGCCCCGGTCACCGCCCCGCCCCCGCCGCGACCCCCAAGTTGAAACGCAACAAGGCCCCTACGCGCCCCTGCCAGCCAGGCAAGCTGGGGAAGGGCCGGGTGTCTCGGCGCGGCCGGACGGGGCGGGAATACCTGAAACAAGGCCGCGGGGCCCGCCACCGCCGCCCTCTGGGCCCAACCAGGGAGGGCCGCCGGCACCAAGTCGGCCGGGCGTCCTCCGCAGCGGCCGCTCCCTTCCTGCTGCTCGCTGCGGCCACGGCCCGGCCTCGGGTCTCGCGAGGCAGCGCGGTGTCGGCGAGAGAAGTTTGCCAAAGGCCCAGGCGGTCCTCCGCCTGACCCTGGGGCAGCGCAGGGGAGCGCCGCGCAGGGCCGGGAGCGGCCGCGGCGGGGGTGGTGGCAGGTGGCAAGAGGGCGGGGACCACCGCCGAACCGCCAGCCGCCTGCGCGCAGGTTTTGTTGTGGGGAGGGTCTGGGTCCCCCCTGCAGCCGGAAGACGCCGGGCGGAAGTGCGTCACGCGCGGCCCAGCCGGCCCCACAGTAGCCTACGCGCTGTACCGTGGCGGCCCCAGGACGCCCCGCTCCTAGTTCCTGGGCAGCCTGACCCTTCGCTCGGCTCTGGCCACCTACCCGTACTCTGGCGTAACTGCTAGCGTTGCTGTCGCTGGCACGTCCTGTCGTAACCACACCCGAAAGACTTGGGAGATGTTTCTCCATCTGAAGTGTTTTTCTCTGCAAAACTTAAGTGTCCTTCTCGGTAATCAAACTACTCAACGTTTTTTGCTGTCGATTGTAAAGCAGGGTGCCAGGGGCTTTGGTGGAGGATAGACTGCGGAGTACCGCAAGTGAAGAGGTTTCGGTTAAACCTGCATAGTGTTAATTTCCGTGTGACTCTGGCTAACCTTGTGAGCCTATATTTACTTCTCCAACTGCATGCTGATGAGTGAAGGAGCTTCCGATGCAGAGCATCTAACACAGTCCTCACCTAAGGCAGTTTCTCCAATTTTCTGTCTCTTAATTGTCTTAAAAACTGACAGGTGGGTGATGATGGATGGGTGAAGTGCGGGGGAAGTAAACATTGTTTTTAAATGAACAATAATGTAAATAAATACATTTAAAAAAACTGACAAATGTTTGCCGAGCACCTACAAGTAGAGTGGTGTTTTTGTTTTTGTTTTTGTTTTTTTCTATTTTATAGAGGCTGATACATAGAAATGTAAAGGGTAAGTCCGGTGCCCCAAAATGACTTGTCCATTTTTCTGACGGGTTTAGGCATCAGTAAAGTAAGTTCGATGTTCATTTTCACAGCTTCAGGCTTCCAATTACTGGGGAATGCTAGAGTTAATATAGGGGGCCTTTTCTGAAAGAGAAGGGTTTAGAGTTATGCCCTAGCTAATAACCACAGGGGAATTTTTCCTTTCAACAATTGCTACAAGAGGACCCCTAACACTCTTTCCTTCTCCCTTCCTTTTTTTGTGATAAGGCATCAACCATATTTTAGTCATATCTTTTCAATGCTCTTTTGAAATTAGAATGAAGACCCCTTTACTATATGTCATGGAATAAGGACAGCTTGCTTGACTCAGCTTTTCTGTAGAAGACCCTTCTCTTTGTCTACCTAACATTTGTTTATCTTTATGGAGCCTTAATTCTAGCTAAAAGTACTTTTCCAGACCCTCGTATCTGGAGCCATATTGCTAATGAAGAATGTTTTCAGAAAGTTCTGGGCAATAAGATTTAAGTTGATGTTGCTACTAGGTCTTCCAGAAAAACAGATAAGGTCTGCGGACCAGAGCTCATCCATGATCAATACTTGTCAGCATACCTGAGGGTTTACAGTCATAGTTCAGTCATGAAGCAACAAGCTGGAGAACAAAGGCCTACTTACCAAAGCATGAAAATAAAACAGGCTGGATCCTTTATGGCATCATTGTGCCACCATATGAGGCCTCAGCGCTGTACCCTGATACTGTTTTTGTCCTTTTCTTATTTAAACCAAGAAGTCCCCACAATCACTACCGCTCAAATCTGCAGCTCAGACTTCCAGGAGTCTGTTAGAGCAGTGCCGGCATCTCACTTGGCATTAATAATTGTTAAGAGTGTGCAATGTGCATGTCACTATGACAAACACTATTTAATGCAGAGTCTAGCAATGGTTCACTAGCATGGAAAAACATTTTAAAATATAATGATCATTCAAGAAATTAAAATGTAGTTGTAAAGATAATGCACTATCACAATTTTTAAAAATTTACAACCACCTGAGTTAAGTCTGATGCTGTTGAACATGTTCATAGTTTAAACAGTAGATAAATATGATGCCATTTTTGTTATTTAAGTATGTATATAACAACATATGAAATGGTGGATGCAGAATATGGGTAGTATTTGTTTTGGAATTTAGGGTAGGAAAAATAATATTGCGGATGCAAGATACCAGTTATATAGAGGCTACTATGAATATTGAGCAGCTGGAGTATAGAGGGTTGAACTGCCTATTTAATGCTCTTATGCTGCAGATAAGAATTACCCATGGGGGCCCTCCCTGGTGGCGCAGCTCCTTAAAGCACAGTATTAAGAAGCTTAAGTCACTTCTGCATGAGTTCCATCCCAGACGTGATCCACATGGCGAGGCAGACCTCTCCTGACCCTCCCGCTGCTCCCCTCAGCAGTGTACTTTGTTGATCTACCTGATCTGCTCCCCAATCTGCCCCTGGTGAATCTTCTCTCCCTCCGCATCTCTGGCCTGTACCCCAGTTCTGTATGGATAAATGATCTTAAAAAAAAAAAAAAAAAAGAATTACCCATGGCACATCTCAATTATCATTTGTTAGTTAAAGATAGCCTTTAATGAGAATGCGTAGGCATATGATGGTAATAGGTAGTATTTGTGAATATTAGTACTAAATGTATTTTAAAAATTTGAGTTATTCAGTACACATCATAGTAGCTAGTTTAGTAATTTAGAGTGATTGTTGCCCAGGGGTTAAATCTCTCTTAACAAAGTAAAATAGAAATTTAAAGAAAATTATTTGTTAAGTCACCAAAATTAATTTCCAGATTTCCAGTATTTGTGGAATGTTTATTCCAATTATTTTCATCTTTGGGTTAGAAGGAAGCAGTAGGAATATACATACATACATACATACATATATATATATATATATATAGACATATATATATATATATATATATATATATATAGACTCACTGTGCGATATTCTGGTTTCTCTTTAAAATTTAAAGACAGCAAAGTGCATGTTACTATACTTGTCTTACTGTAATTTAGACTGTCTTCCAGCAAGATAAGGTATGTGAATGATCTTTAATAATAGAGTTTATGGTATTTTGTTTTGTTTATTTGCTCTCTTGGGAGGAAGGACTTTAGTTAAATGATGATCTTGCAACCGTAAAATTCAAAGGTTGCCCCTCTGACTTCTGATTCCTCTGTTTCTACTTTCACCACACTTGTTTTAAAAAAAAAAGTGCTATCTCACAAAGCATCCAATCAAATCTTAATCAAGTTTATTGTTTTCTTTTTTACTGCTACATTTGAAGCTGAGGAAAATTAGCTCATTTTAACACTGCACTTTCAAAATCTTAATTGGTCACAGATGTTTGACTATAACCCATATCATAGAAATAGAAGGAAGAAAACCATGCATACTTTAAATGCCAAATGGGTTATTTGAATGGTGTCATCTAGTGAGTTCTTAGCAGCCATGAGATGTAGTGAGAACCATGAAGATCAAAAAGGCTAAGTGTCTTGCCCAAAATCACACAGCTGGTGATTTTCAAATAGTATTCTGATTCCACTATAATATAATCTTTCTACTACACTGAACTGTCCTATTTAAGATGTATAACAAGATACTTTCCGGAGGGAGAGTTTTTTTAGGAACAACATTTTAGAGATCATTTAGTTTAGTTTTCCAGGTGCTACCAGAATCAGTCTTACAACATCTCTGATGAGCAGTCAGCCAAGTGTGGCTTTAGATCCTGCCAGAAAAGGGAGTAATCATAGTTTTCCCTACATCACAACCTATTGTTAAACAGCTATTGCTGTTATAATTGAGTTAAAATCTACAATTTCATAATTTATCATTAGACCACTTTTCTCCTTTTGATCAATCTCAGATATTCCTTACTCTTACTCTATATTTCAACCCTTAAAATGGATTAAATGCAATCTACCTCTTCTCCAGCCTGAACAGCCCTAGATCTTTTAACCATTCTAAAGAATAGATTCCAGATCACTCAGGATCCTTATTCACCTTTGGGATACACTAGTTTGCATATCCCTCATAAACCTGTTACCACAATGAGTATTCAGACTTCTTGTGATTACCCTGAAATAGTCTTCATGATTTCTGTATTAACAGAAATCTTCATAAACTGGCTGAGCAGTTTAATTTCTTATTTGACAGTCTGTCTATCTAGTAAGGATATAGAGGCCATTTGATTAAGACAAATATGATTTCTCTGATAGTTCAACCTGTGATGAGACTTGAGGAAAATTATAGCTAAGTAGCATTTTCCTTCTCTTTTAGGTGACCAGAAAAGTTGGGGGAAAAGGACGACAGAAAATCTCTTACTATTTTTCACCATTCAGAGAATGTTAGCCTAAATTTCTATTACTTGTCTACTCCTGCAAAACAAATTACTTCCAACAATATGATTCAGAAATTTGGGAACAGTTTAGCTTGTGGTTCGTATTTGAGTCTGAGGAAATCGCAGTCAAGATTTCAACTGGCATTCAGTTATCTTATGGTTTCATTGGAACTAGAGCACCTCCCCTCCATGGTGAAAGATCTCTGTAAATGTGCCATTCATGAGGCTGCCACATCAAACACCTTAACTGTTGTGAAGTTTCACTTCCTCCTCAAGGGGCCTCTCTGCCAGACCGAGTGCATGATGGCAGCTGTATTCACTGAGAATAGGGACCCATGAGACCAAGGTAGAAGCAGTAATGCCTGTTAAGACTTAGTCTCAGAAATTATACACTGTCACACACTGCTCTATTGATGACAAAGGCCTGAATCAACACGGAAAAAGGGTACATTTGAACATCAATACCAGGAAATGAGAAACTATCTTCTATAACAAGCCAGCTGCCATAATGTAACTTTCCAAAGCATAGCATATCACAGTAGCTACCCAATGCCTTTTATATACAACTATGCATGTCCAAATGCACAATTGTTACACAACTGCTTGTCCATTATCTAACATTCAGTTTCTCTCTTTACAGAGAATTTCCTCCAAAAAACAATTTTTTTAGACCTACTATCATTGACTATATCTCCTAAATGTTTACCTTTTTGCTAAAATATATATATACTTCAGTTGAACTTGAGGATACTACATTTACTACTCTGCATTCAAATAAAGTTAAGGGTAATTCCTAAATTGAAATGAACCTGGAAAAGTCCTTGGCCTAACCAAGGCATTCTTAAGTGGATCAGAGATAGACATCAAACACA